TTCTTTTTGATAATGAATTTATCATCTTAATTCTAAATAATATCAGTAATTTTCATCCAGATATTTCAAAAGAATTGCAGTTAATATTTTCAGAAGTAAAACTAAATTACCCAAATATTTCATACTATTATCCCCTAATCTCTATATTTTATTCACCTTACAAATACAAAAACTGATCTTGCAATCATAACAAATTAAATTAAGTTTCAAAAATAATTCTTCTACTGTACTATGCTAATGGTAACAATCACTATAAAATAATCCAACGTTTCCAACTTATAGAATTTTTATTAACTGATTATATTTTGATCATATACCATATCTAAAGACACTTGAAATTGATGGATTATATTCTAATAATACAATTGATTATTATCTATATTAATATAAAGAATCCATTTCCTTAATTTCCAGACTACTCAATTGATGAAACAAAAGCAATATAAAAATGTTCATCTAAAGTTTTAGTAATAAATGATTAATCTAATATACATCTATGCAAATATAATAATTAGAATATAAGCTGATATTAATATCATAAAGAATTATTATGCTGATATTAATCCTAATAATAATACACTCTTTTTTCCATTTAACTATAATTAATTAAATTCTTAATACTTAATAATGCTTATGCCAAACTGATTCTTTTATCTTGAATTTGACATTCTAAAATTTAAATACAGATTAAAAAATATTTTGTAAAAATGTTCGTTTATGCGACATTGAGATGAAAATATAAAAAATTGATGATTGTATTTAATTTTATATATGAAATTAGAATAGAACTTCTTAATTAGTTTTAGATTATTACGAGACTCATCAAAATATAGATAATAATTTGTTAGATTTTATTAAAATTGTGAAATCATATTCACTGTTATAAGACATCAATAAGGATAAACCTTTAATGAATCAAATATTCTCTCAACTTGCTTGAAAAAGAACATAGGTATAATTATCATTATATTCCTCCTAGATAAACAAGAACTAAATATATATATATTATTAAATA